CCGCCGCTGCGCATGACGGGGGCCCTCGCCGCCCTGACGCCGCGGCCTCTCCTCCTCCACGGCCTCCGCGAGCGCCAACCTTCGCCTCCTCCTTGCCGCGGAGGCAGAAAGTGCCTGAGGTAAGATCCGCCGCCGCCCGCCACGGCCGCCCTCCGGCCTGCGCCACGGGGGATTTTGTAACACTGCGACAGAGGCGCGCACTGCCCGCTCCGAGACTTGTACACTGCAATGTAATTAGTCTTTGCAATAAAATGCCGATGCTGACGCGTCCCCGCCGCCCCGCGGGATGGTATTGTCCTTTCATGGAGGTGGCAGTAGCTGGAGAGTAATCGGGCCTTGTGGCATCATTTTTGTGCTTCAGAAAGAGGCTGTTTTGTTTGTGGGACTGGTGTGTGAATCGAGCAACCCTGCCCTCCTGAAGCTGTGAGGTACTGGAGGTTGCACTTCTCCTCGTAGCAGTTTGTCCGGTGTCTGATTTACTGATTTTACTTCGATACAAGCGGTGGTTTTAACAAGTGTAATGGTTCTGGATCTGACTCTTGCAAGAGAAACTTACTGAGAGAGTTCTAGATCCATCAATTATTTGAAAGCACTGGAAAATACCTAAGAAGGAGCAACATAGAGGAATCACTTGTTAGAAAAACGCCTGGTACCTCCTAAGGAACTGGGACAATACCTAGAGAGCCCCTACGTGATGCTAGAAATGTTTAAGAGCCAGTAATTCCTTGACAGCTCAGTGGCAAGACATGAAAGTTCCTGAAAATGTTGGAAATCCAGGAATTCTTAGAAAGCATTTGAAAAATGTTTAAGAAGGTGTTTGGACTAAAAATATCTGCATAGCAGAGGGAGAAAATCCTAGAAAGCATGGGTAAACTTCCAAGAAAGTGCTAACAACCCAGACAGTGACATGGAGAAGCCAGAACGACTCAGACACAAGCAAGCCTTTAATGACTTGGATATTTCCTTAAAAAGATGTTTTTCTGACAGCCCAGCAGTTCTTCCACTTGGATCTACTTAAGGGAGATGTCAGTAACCTGGGGCAGTTCCTGGTAGACTGAATGCCAGAAGTTCACGTATGGGGATCTCAGATCCTGCTTCACGGAATCGTAGCTAATATCGCTGTTGATATCCAGGTAGTTGGTAGTGTCGAGGGTATAGGGCAGCCAGCCAATGGGCACCGTGGAATGCCCTGTGTTGGGATCACTGGAAAAAAAAGGAGGAAGAGCTAGAGGTTAAATATTGTGATAGCTTGTCAATGCAGCAAAACTTGGGGGTTTTGGTAAGCATCCAAGCTCAGTGAGGTTTTAAGTGAAATAGCAACAAGGAATTTGACACTGGGACACGTCAGAGCAGTTTTCCGTGCGGGGAATGACTTGCCTACCTGCATTCCCCTCCCTTGTTCCCCTCTAGCAGCATGCAGCAGCTTATCTCTTTTCTGAACTGCAGGGCTCAGAAACAAATTTCATCATTAAGGTTTAAGCAGGTATTATAAGATTTTAAAATGCTTCTCCTGTCCCCAGTTGTCCTCTCTGAAGCAAGAGCACCAGGACCTCTCTGCAGCAAACTCAGCTCCTGGCAGATACAGGATCCAGTTTACAACTGACATACGGAGGGAATTGGTCCCAAGAAATTAATAGGCAAAAGCAGCAGGTTGAAGTGTTGTGCACCAAGCCCTGAATGTGGAACCAGAGGCACTTACCCTGTTCTGGCGAAATTGGTCCAATAAGCAATCATGGCTTTGGAGACAGTCCTGTGCTTGGAAAGGTAGCCAAGGGGTGTGGCGAAGGGTTTCCCAAACAAATACTGCAGGTCATCAGCATGGTCTGCCCCTACCCAGCTTGGGTAGCTAGGCATTCGGGACGGCTGGGAGAACACATAGCTGTACGTCTTGCCGGTCCTGGATAAACCAAAAATAACTCACTAAGCAGCTGCCAGTGGAATGTATGGAAAGGGATGCTGATTCACAGCATTGGCAGAGCCAGAGATGCTGCCTTGGAAGATGCCCATGTGCTTGGAATTGTCTAAGTGCTCTCAGGGGAAAACATCTTTCTATTGTGGTAATTTTAACTTCAATTTCTGATTCTCACCCTAATGCTTGTATCATCCAGCTGATAGCCTTGTGGAATCAGCCATTGCTAAGGTAAAATTCAGGGTTTTTAAGAAGCAATGATTTCTTCTAGTGGGGGTTTAAAACAAGCTTGCAGCGTGATTCCTCTGCAGCAGTAGGGAAATGCTGTTTGTAAAGGCTGCATTTCAGTGTGTACTCAGCACCAGCCCCTGTGCTGGCTTTGGGCTCTCGGGCAGACCTGCTCACCCGGCGTGCAGCTGGTGGAGCTTCAGGGCCCACTGTGTGGGAACGAGGAACATGTAATCGGTAGTCACGTCCACCACCGTCCTCTTCATAACCTCCTGGTCAGGGTCGGTGTTCCACATCTGAGTGTAGAGAGCGTACGTTGCATTGGCTCCTCTCTCTCCCTTCTCCACAGTCAGGCCTTCGAACTGCTTATAGACCTCCTCCCTGAAAAGACAGACAGGATCAGTTACAGACCAGCAGCCTGAAGTGGGTCAAGGTTTATGGGAACAGGCTGCAGCTCTATGAATTTCACCTTCATCCCTGCAGTTGTCAGCTCTTTTGTGGACTAAGCTGATTGTATCAGTCCAGGGTTTAGAAAGGCATGTGCTTCATGACTTTCTCAGCTGCACAGCTTGGAGGAACGAATAAGCCACATGTTCCTTTTGCCCTCAAAGAGAAGCCTTACAGGGCAGGCACCCTCTACATCCAGGATGTAGCTGCTTTGCTCAGCTCTGCTCCCGTAGCTCCAGTCAGAGAGGCCAAGCCCAGTGCTGGGGTTGAGTTCAGGAGCAATTTAATGACATATGGAGACACCTCCCCCTAACTGGTTACTTCTCTTTAAGGCACCCAACTCAGCAACATAGACCCTATGCACCCTGACTTGAAATGGGATCCTTTACTGAAGTTGGTGCCTGGTCCACGCGGGTCTAAGTCCTCTGAATTTGGGAAATATATTCAAGCTAGTTTCTTCTGTTAAGGGTTTTGAGAACATCCGTCACTTACGCAGTCACTTTCACAAGCGGGCGGTTGACAGCAGGAAAGTCAATCCCAACAAAGAAGTGCCCGTCCATGTTGTTGACCCCCGCAATATAGTCAATATCAGCAGCGTTGTCAAAGAGGTTCTCCGGCATGTCTGGGAGGAAGTCTCCATCCACAACAGGGCCGAGGGCAAGGTGATGAACAACGGAAGCTGCAGCAGGAGAGAAAATGGAACATTTTAGGAGCTGAGAGAAGACTGACCTGTGGGCTGGCCTACCCTATTGGTCAAAGAACTGTAAGAAGACTATGCTGAAGTCAATGACAGTTTCAACAGTGATGTCAGTGCACCCAGCAGCAGGGTGACCATCGGATCATATTCAATAATCTCATGCCTGTAAGTGGAAGAGAAGAGCAAGGAATCTACTGGCTATATATGGACAGGTAATACAAACAAGTCATCTCCTGTCCCCAAACCCTTCCCAAAAATCCTAGCCAAAGAGAGAACAGAGTAGAAGGCCTCCTCCCCACCCCATCTGTGAGTGCTAACTTGCTGCCAACACTGCAAACCTGGTACAGTGCATTTGCACAGCGCTGGCTTGCCCACTTTCTGTCCTCAGCAGGGTCAAATCCTGGAGCTATTTACTAGGAGCATGAGGAGAGCAGGTGGAAATGTGGGAAAGAGATTCTCCCAACCAAAAAAACCCAAGCCTTCCTTATTTGCTGTGATGGAGTCACGTCTGGTGAGTCCCACACTCCACCCAGTGACTTAAGTGAAAATAGCAGGGTTGTGGTAATTTGCTGCTGTTATAAACCATGCTCTTTGATTGCTCTTGCTGCTTTCAAACAAGGTGCACACAGTTGTTTCTGAGGTGAGCTTGGGCCATGCACGCCAAGGCCTGGCCATCAAGGTAATTCATGCGTCGCTGTTGTCATGGAATAACAAACAGCGTTCACTCAGCACACTGTGCACCTGCCTGGGGATGGGGGACTGTAAAATCCCCCCCTCTTCCCCCTGAAGGGACACAGGTTGTCTTCAAGTGCTCTTGGTGACTTCCCCATCATCATCTCATGCACGTGCCCAGCGAGCCACAGTGCTGGCAACTTACAGGGCAAGTTGGTCAGTTCCTGGTGGTAGGCCATGGTCAGAGTTTTGGGGTCCGTGGCTCGTAAGCAGTTAGCCAGGACAGCTGTGTTGTCTGTAGAGCAGCCCACAGACTCTGCGATCTGCAGAAGGAAAGAAATTGCCTGGGATTATCCTCTGAAGCCAAGGTCATTCCTGGGTTCACATGGGGAGAGGAGAAGTTGGGTTTAATTTCAAAGAATTGTATTTGCAAAGCTCTGGGCTTGGGAGCATAGCTCCTGTCTAGTTCCTTGTTAGGATTTCATAGACAAGAGCTTTACTTTGATGTCTTTAAGCAAGGCTTTGACTTCAGGATTGCTGCAGAACCCCAGCGTTCCTCGGGGAAGCAGAGCCCCCATCCCACCGCTCACCAGCACCCGCCCCAGCCCTCCTCTGCAGGCCCCAGTGCTGAGTCGTGTTACCTTCTGAGCCCAGGGAAGAGGGTCCTTCTGGATGGCCCAGCTGCAGAGACCAACCCCGCTCTGACTAATGGCTCTTTTGAAGAGCCCTTTGTTGTATGGGGACAGCATCTGTGGCACAAAAGAGAAACAGGAGAGTCGTCTTCTGGTACCAAGTCCTGGAGAGAATCTTGCTTGTCAGACTCAGCCAATCTCTGGCACCAGGGGAGGCCCAGGGAAGCCGCCAACTCTTTCATTATTTAGGAGTCTCAGTGACTGCCCCTCTGCCGCAGCTCTCCCAGATCGTGTAGTCAGAAGTTAAAAGGAATAAAGAAAAGGAGCAGAATAGAGGGAGCTGGTAAGTAAATGCTACTTCAGAGATCCTGGAAGAGAAAATATGCTTGTAGTTGCAGGCCTGATTAAACTGAAAGGGAAGGAGCAGCAATGAAGAAGAGAGGCCCAGGACTGTTTTCCCTGTGCAGGGGGCAGATGTTGGTAAGTGTGTATGGAGCTCCCAACGAGGAGAGGAACCGTGCTCTGAGGTGATCACAGCTACCATTTAAAAAGCAGAACAGCAGCTCGGATGAGCTCCTACAACGAACTTGAGAACAAACCTGCAGGGAGGCACTGGCGCCACCAGCAGATTCCCCAAAGATGGTTATGTTTTCTGGGTCACCTCCAAAGGCCTTGATATTCCTCTTCACCCAGGCAATAGCCATGTGCTGGTCCTTCAGCCCGTAGTTCCCTGAGCAACACAGGACATTCCATTCAGCAAGGGGACAGTCAAAGCTGGGGTCAGGGCTCCTTCCACCATGCAGCATTCGAACCAGAGCCACCTCCTGGCCTAGGTGTCTCCCATACTCGGGATGTGCCACAAGCCATCGTGCTGCGGCCAGAGCTGGAGCTCTGCACCTGCCCTGTTCATCTCTGGGCAGGGAGCCCCTGTCTCCAGGCAGGGAGGCAGCTGCAGGTCACGCTCTGCACTGACAGTGCAGACAAACCAGGGACCTGCAACAGGGTCCCCTGCAGAGGGAGCAGCTCCTGTACCTGGCGCGTTCTCGTCACCCGTGCTCAGGAAGCCCAGGGGCCCCACGCGGTAGTTGAGCGTGACCACGATCACGTTGCCCCGCACAGCGATCTCCTCGCCATCGTAGAGGTAGTTGTTGAAGAAGTTGGCTCCCTGGCTGCCTCCGAGGAGGAAGGCGCCACCGTAAAGCCAGACCATCACGGGCAGGTTAGTGGAGACTGGGAGACGAGAAAGAAACACAGTGTGAGAGAAACTCTCTGCTCGGTGATGAGACTGAAGCATTCAAGAGGTTGTAGCTGATGGACATTAACTGACATGCTTCCCCCCACCCCAAAAATACGAGTGCTTCTGCAGGTGCTCAATATGGGAACGTTACTATGAAGAGACGCTGCAGAGCAGTTTATCAACAAAAGGCAGCAAAGAATCTCCTCCCCAGGTCTCTGCTAAGCACATACCTTCCTTCCTCCCTTGAGGGATCCAGATGTTCAGATAGAGACAGTCCACGCTCCCACGCGTATCCGTTTGTGCAAGTGTCGTCTGCAGGCAGCGGGGTTTGAATTCTTTTGTTTTCAGTGTTCCTGATGGGAGAGAGGGAAAATGACAGGCCACCATTTAGAAGCACCAGCTCCATCCCTCAGCTGCAAGCTGTCCACCCATCCTCCCCTCCACGTATCCAGCACAGAGGGAGCAAGGTCCCTGCAGCCACCAGGCAAAGAGAATGGCAAAGCAGGGCCCTTTATTGCTGACAACTCTGGCGACTTCATGTGGCTACTTAAACTTCTTGGGATCAGACAGGGACTTTCAATGACTTTTTCCATTGTGCTGCTTAGTATACAAAAACAGGCAGCAACACCCCTGCTCTGGCAGTAACAGACAAAAGACAAATGACAAAAAATAAAGACCTTCAAAAGCTGGACCTTACCTTCCCAGCCAGGATGTGGTTGGGGGTCTTCCAGAATCTCTGGAGGGGCAGCAAAAGGGATTCCTCTGAAGATATCAACGTAGCTCCCGAAGAGCCCTCGCCTTTTGTTCTCACCTTCCACAAAACCTCCTTCCGTGTACACCACACCCAGCTAAATGTTGTCCCGTTGGGGAGAAGAGTAAATGCACAGCTCAGCACCTCCTGTCTCTGGCTTCCCCCATTGCCAGCACCCACCAGTCCCTGGTGAGTCCCGGACAGCCTGACTTGCAGCCCCCTTCCCTGCTGTCCCTTTTGACCCCTATGGAGAGCCCATGAGTAGCTGCTGCTCAATATTTACTCCAGTGCAAGTGTCCTGCAGACCCCTCTGCCGCAGGGAGACGGCAGCAATTTCCCTGCATTTCCAAGAATCAGTGGCAGTAACTAGGCACCTGCAGCCTTCAGCTATAGCCCAGGCCAGACACAACACAGGACTGTGAAGGGAGCGTTCAGAAAACCTTAGTGAGAGCCTTGGGCACGTTTAGCACCGGAGCGCGCCCTGCCTTTGCTGTCACATTTCCCAGGGCCTCTTTAATGGAGTCCAGACCTTTTTTTTTTAAAAAAAAAATTTCTTTACCCAGACACGAAGAGGTGAAAAAAAAACCTTGCAAAGCCATAGGAAACTCCTCGCCACTTACCGTTGCTGCCCATGTTTCCCCGAGGCAGCAGCACAGGGCCAAGCCCAGGATGTGCCAGCGAGCCATGCTGCAGGCGCGCGCGAAGAGCCGGCCCCCGAGCAGGGCTATATACCCGGCTGGCATCGCAGCTACCTGCCCGTGCACCTCTGCACCCCTTCCAGGCTACGGGGCAGCTCCCCAACGCTCGTCCTTCAGCTCCCTGAGGCCACAGAGATAGGCTGGCATCGCTGTGTGAGAGCCCTGCAGATGCTGCTTGTGCAGGCTACAGATCAAAAGAAAGGATCTGAGTCTAACTAAAGGGGGAAAAAAAAAGGCAGGTTGGTTTCCTTGCATGAACATAGTTAAGCCTAATTTAAAAGATTTTTTAAAAAATTAACTCTTCATTATGCCCCCAGAACTACTATGTTTCAATTATCCAAATGAGTTACATTACTTATAAAAGTTCCAGTGAAAGAAAACAAATCAAGGGGAAGGATGATATTATTGGGAAAAAAGCATTTATTTTAAAAAAATTGTGTGTGGGGGGGTAGAACTGGCTTATTTGACTTGTTAGCAATACTATATATCCTCTGCCATGTGGGCAGGTGGTTTCTGAGCATCTGCTCTCCCAGGGCTCATAAGTCAAAAATAATAATTTCCCTCTCACATACGCATAACTCTGAACAGCTCTTTTTGCAGATTTAAGCCTGGCACTCCTCAGAGCCTCTTGACGAAGTGTCAGCAGTGAACTAATTCCTACAGTTCTCCTCATGGAGTTCATTTTATTCATAGTTTTACCAGTTGACCCAGATGAGAGATCCAAGAACTGTGTCGACTCCCAAGCTTAATCAGCTGAATGTTGTCTAATTACAGCTGAGGTAAAGGGTGGCTAAATCTCATATATTGGAACAAAGCAGCAAATGTGGCAATGAGTCCTAGCTGAGACCAGCCACCACGGTTGCCCAAGAACAGCTCATCCTTCTTCTGAGTGCACATTGAAGCTGCAGTTTGTTATAGGAGGACAAAAAAACACAATTGCTTAACAGCCATGGGAAACAGAGTCAGTGAAGGACCACTGACCTCCCCTGAATTAGCAAGAGCTGCCACAGTAAATGCCAGTTGGAGCCTGGCAAGAAAACAGTATCTCCATGGTGTTGGTTTTATGAAGGCTTTTTGGCCAGCAATTACAAAAAATGTAGGCACCATCCAGAGTGATGGCCATCAACAGGCACCACATTCAGTGCCAGATGAGTAGCTGGCACCTTAGTGCAATTTTCACTTTTTCACATCCTGTGCATGGTTACTAATCCCTCAGCACTCAGGAAACAAAGCAGAAGTTCCAATCCCATTGCAGCCAGACTACTCCCTGAATTCATACGTAGTCCAGAATTTCTGTTTCCATTTCATTTTCACTCCCATCGGAAGGCTTGAAGTCCTCCTCTTCTTCCTCTTCATCTTCCTCATCCTCTCCAGATTCATAAGTCAGCTGCTCTTTGCCATCTTCACTGCTTGTTGTACTTGAGAAAAGGGCTTAATTGGAGAGAAAGAGGGGAAGATATTACAATTCCTTTCTCAGTGAAACCTGGGAGAATGTGCAGCAGGGTTCCTAAATCAAGTGAGAAGAAGGCAGAAGCCTGAAGGTCGCAGCTCATGTTTCACCTCTTAACAGAATGTGATCAGAACCAGAGCAGCTTGTTATCCCACTCCAGAAATTGCTCGAACAGCAGATTTGCTCTATCATATGTCTTCACCTAGCTGATTCTAACGTAATTCACTGGAATACTGATTTTGCCCAGCATCATGAAAAAATAACTTCATTTCTCCTTGGTCAACTAGCTATCAGCAGTTGACAAAAGCTATCAACAAAATGTATCAAGTTAATTCTTGCATCAAGCAATATATCTATAAGCATAATATCACAGATAGCACTAGGCAAAGACATTTATAACCTGAACACTGTGATAGAGGGAAGATGAAACAGAAAACTTCCACTCCCAGCCATTTATAATCCCAACCCAGGACAACAGCTTCATCTCCCTTACTGTGATGAGCTGGAACAAAGACACCACCAGATCTAGCACCACCCTTTAACCTCCACACAGAAGGAGTGAGGATGGGAACACTGCAGTGTCTTGATTCAACCCACAAGCTCCCAACGCCACCAGGAAGGCAGGAAGATGCTGTTCAGCATTTTGAAGTTCAGAAGCATCTTTACCAGGTCTTGTGGATCTGATTATCTGCTTTATCATGAGAGACATGGAATCTCGCAGATCATCACTCGTCTTTGGAAGGCACCACCCATCCCGCTCTGTGCATTCCGACTCTGCACCATCATTCCGACGGATGATTTTCTGTAAGCTAAAAAGCAGCAAAAAGGGGGACGTATTAGCCTTCTAGTCAGACACAGGCTTCCAATGGGGCAAAGAATGTCTTATTTCCTTTATATTTCAATAAGCTGGAATAGTATCATATTTGGTTATTCACACTGCTGTCATGAGGGAAATAATTTTATTTTTATTCAGAAGCTAAAAATCTCCTAAGTTGCTGGTCGAGAAGAGAGAGAGAGAGGGATTGGAATTGACTGGATATAAATAGCAGGTTTTGAACTAGTTCTAATAGAAGACTCTGGCAGTGTGCAATACCTTTCCACATTCAAGTCACAGAGCTGGTAGAACATCTGCCGATAAGGTGGCAAGGCTCCTTCTCGGAAAATGTAGATAGATTCCTAAAAAGAGGAAAGAAAGATTTAATGCGTGTTTCATGATATAATAGGTCAACTTTGGAAAGTACTTCCTACGGGCTGATTTGAGAGCAAGGTATTTCCTATACAGCAGTTCCAAGGCAAGGAGGGATAGTCTGCATGTGGCAAAAGATAAGGCTGGAGGAGGAGTACAGCAGCATTTCACTGCAGTCATAGTCCCCACAGCACAGTTCTCCATAAGAGGGGATCACAGGTTTCATTCCAGCAAAAAGGAAAAGAATAAAAAACAGGACTCTGGTTTACCTATGTATTTTCCCCTGCTGGACTCTTCAGGACAACCAGGTAAACACATGGTGATATTTTGTATTTCACTGCTCATAAAGATCTCCAAATTTATCAGAATGAAACAAAATGTGTATTACATCTAAGACTAGGGCTGAGATTACCCCTCCCAACTTGCAGCTTGTAAAATCTGCATTAAATGAACAGCAGGTCAAAGTTCTGCAGTGAAAGATACAACTAGCAACTTTCCAGTTAAAACAAAGGACACCAAATTACTCACATCCCAAAGAGATACCTGTACTGTTAAGTGACACTAGACTATTTCAAGATCTCAGTAGAAGAGGGTTAATACCAACCTTCAGTTTGTACCTGCTGGAGGCAGGCTTTTTTGAAGTGGATGCTGCAGAAGAGCCAAGTCCTTGTTTGAGATCATGTATACTGACTGTATGACTCACTGAAAGACAAGAGAGAACAAATGACCTTCTTGCACACTGGGGCACTGTAACGTCACTTACTTCTCCCAGTCAACTTTGCTGTTTAGCAGAAACCAGACCAACCTAGCAACTGAGCTTGTGTTGCCCATTCTGGAAAGAAGTTACTACATCACAAATCAGTCACGGGAAACGTGGTGAGTTTGGCTGTGTCAACAGCACATTTTTGATGCCTTTTCTGCTCCCTCTGTGCTATGCTGTTCTGTTCCCAGACTGTGTGCTGACTTCCCAAGGCATTCCTTCAAGCGGTACAGTATGTGTTCCCTGCAACTCTGCTGCTCCCTCTCTACTTCACTGGGTGTTGTAGCTTCCTTCCCATGACCTCATTTAGAGAGCAGAGCAGGAAATAAGGAGAACACACATTACTTTTCAACAGTTACGATAAAGCTTTTCTGATATAGGAGATACAGTGTGGTTCCCCAGACTCCCTTCTGTCTCTGTAGACACTCCAGCTCAGCCAGCCAGGCATCCAAACTTCCAACACTTCCCAACACGGGACTCTTCTACTGTTTCTAACAGCAGCACCATATTGCAAGCTGAGATAAAGTTCCAGGTTAGGCTAAGCTGGAACACAGGGAGACTTTTCACCACCAGTGTCAAGGAGGGGATAAACCAAAGAAACACAGAGCAGCCGGATGGCACTTCTGCTGGCTCAGCCTACCTGGCTTTTTGACAGTGATGGGTAGGCTGTAGTTATACGTGCTGCGTTTTGCTTTCACTGGCATATCATTAGGGGCATAACCTGGAGGTGGAAAAAGAAAACAGACACTGACAAGGGAGGGCAAGCACCCTGCAGAATAACCCTAGCTCAATAAGAGAAGGACTAGTGTGTGAAAGGAAAGTTGATCTTTGGGAATCCCTGATTTTAGTGAGGTCAAGAGAGGAGATACCAGAAAAACAGACTAATGACTGGACACTGCTCTCTCACGGGCTCATCATATGATCTCAGAAAGTTCCCTTAATTTGTTACTACCAAATAAGAGCAGGAAAACTCTATATCCCAAGGTCCAAGTTAGTGTCCTGCACAAGCTGGAGAGAAAGCTGCTATATAAGCAACCGAATGTATTGCTCAGTACCTCCCCACAGTGAGGGAGGATGCCTGCTGACATACACTTGGGCTTTGAAAACAAGGAAGAGCAAAATCAGTCAGCTGTTCTCTAGGTTTGGAATGTGCTAATAAGGAAAGCAATACTATGAAATCAATTATTAAATGTGTTTACAAAACAAATACTGGAAACAACCGAATTCTAGAGGGATGGTCTCTCCAAAAGAGCCGAAACTCAGGAAAAAGAAATGTCTTTGGAGCTTGAAAACAAATAAAAAGAACTACAAAGATTGGTCAGAAAGCACAAGGATGGTCTCTGTGAGTTGGGCCATTTTACCATATTTCATTCCACAGCGAATTCGGAAATCCAAGACTTGATAAATTTTTGCTTCAGGGTGTTTTCTGGGGTCATACCCAAACCTAACCCATAAGCTTCTCCAGGGACCTGTTAGCTGTGTAAACACACAGAGGGAGGATGGTTACTACAGACAGTTCAGAGACGCAGTTTCTCAGAAAATTCTAACATGTCCCCTCTTTGCCCAAAGTTGTATATATTTTTCCCTGAGGTAGGAACAAAAGTAGATATATCCAGAGACTTACCATGTAATAGGCCAAATATGGCAAGAGAAGTTTCAGCTTGTCAGGATGAACACTGATATTGGCCTTTACCGCATTCCGAGACCAGATAGGACGGACTTCAAAGAGCTAAAATAATGCAAACCAGCAGTGGGCATTTAAATTTTCCAATGGACTTTCTTACGTTTTAGCCTTTTAGCTCTCAGAATGGCAATGTTCATAGCCCAAAGTAGAATCAAGCCCTACAAAAGGGCTGGCAGCACAAAAAGCAACCGAGTGTGCTTTTGCTGCAAAGACAGATTCAAACCTTGACTTGCAAAGTGAACTGGACACAGATGTCTCAGTTCAGTCTACTGAGACTTATTGCATCAGTCAGACTTCTGATTTGCTCCATTGCTATCCTTACAAAAACAGACCACATTCATTCAGCAGCCAGTCCACTCTCCAAAAAAAGCTGTAGAACTGGTCAGACGAAAGGCAAACTAACACTTTTAGGCCACAGTTAACTCTGGTGAACACAACTTCAGAGCCTAGGATGGCATTTCACATACATGCCATTCATTCACTTCAGTGATGTGACTTTGGCATGCCTTGATTATCTCACCCATTATTTACAAGGAGAGCTACAGCTGTTCAAGGCACCAAATATTCCTAGGCCTGACAGATTATGCCACCACAGCCCCTCTCCTTTGACAGATTATGGAATGGAAAAAGCAAATGTTTATTTGACTAAGGTCACACAGGAATGTTGATATGGCACGGGAATTTAACGCAAAGTCCCAGATTAAACGCCCTGGTCTAGTCAGGGCCCAAATTTTATCTGATAGAAAGGTTAACCAGGAAACTTTATCTGAAGACCTCTAAACCTTCAGAGAAGCCAGCAAGCAGTTACAGCTGCTGGTCTAGAAAAGATTCTTGAAGCTTCCCAGAGGTCAAAGAAATGGGCTGAATGCAGCTTTTCACACACAGCATGCCCCAGTAAGGTACTCCATCCAGCTCAGGAATTTGACACGTACCTTTCGCAGCTCTTCCTCCACCTTCCTATCCACAGGATTAGTGCACACTTTCTTCCAGGTCTGTACAGCAGCGTCCAGTGGTTTAGCTGGGATTTCTTCATCATCAAAGTTCACAAAGATTGCGTTGTGTGGGCGCCGCGCTCTGCTGAGGCCAATCAGGTTCTCACCGGATACTGGAGGATTGTTGTATCCATCCCTAGGAAACAAAGTACTGGATTTGCTGTCTGTGTGCGGCATTCATTGGAACACACAAAAAAGAAGTTTGTTTTCCAAGTTTCCAAAGAGAAGAGATGCAGCTGTATGAACAATGACCTGACCTCACTATGGATTTGGGAATTACCTACGGGTAACCATAAAAGATTCTTAAAAGGGTTTTACTGAAAACACTGAGCAAAGGACATACAAATTAAAAAAAAAAATAAAAGTAAAACTACATCCAGTTGCCTTATGACAGAGCTCCCCTAGGCTATCTGCCTGAAAACCCTCAGGGAGTTTATTGGTAATTTGTATGACATACATTTGTAAATCAAAAGGCTTCACTTCTATGACTCACACTATATTTGCTCTACTGAAATTGCTTAAGTTCAGGAACATACATGGAAATGGAGTTACTACTTCAATCCTGAAATTAGATAATATGTATTTGCATTTTTTTAGTTCCAGTGAAGGACTGCAGTGAGAAAGTGAAAGATGTTTCTTGTGGGAGATATCACAGATTGTTTTGCCAGAAAAACAAACAAGGGGTCAGGAAAGAACAGCTCCAGTGAACATGCTTGTGGCAACACGTGGCACTGACTGCTGCATACACTGCACTAAGCTCCAGCTTGCTGGAAACAAGCAGCAAGCAGGGCTCACTACATCTTCTACTACATTCCTGCCCTAGAGTGCTTTGTCAAGCAGGCCTGGCTATGCTGTACAAAATCAAAGGATAAAACAGAAGGGAGCTGCCTGAACACACAAAATGCATTAATGATCTATTTAATACTGCTCTAATGCTTCAAGAGCACAGATCTCATAATCCAAAACACTGAAGTCAAAATGGACTAGAGGCACCTACAGGTAATGAAATCTTAAATTGAAAATTTGGCTATTAGAAATACGTATCAAACCAGCACAAGGTTTTACTGCCTGTTCACTCAGGAACCAACACAGATATTTATGATGCTGTGAGAAAAGGCTCTAACCGGTGTTGTATATCTGGCCGATAAAAATAGTCAACAGGAGTGTCCAGGCGGGAGAAAATTGGTGGAGGGATGTAAAGAGGTAGCTCTCTATTGAAAAATTCTTCTTTCTCTGGTTTGAGCATCAGGACTTTGTCGTACATGGAGATTTGCTTGCCGTCAGGTCCAGAATGCATTGCCAGGTACTGGAAGTCTGACATTCCTGCAAGAAACAAAAATAAAGGGGAAAAAAAAAAAAACATTAAAGGAATCACTTCCCTTACACATCAGCTGTACTAGTCTGTAAGGCCCCAAATCACGGTATTACCTTGAAATTTGTAAACAGTTGTGACAATCCCCAGAATTTCCATTTCAAACTTGACTTGTGGCTGTGCCTGTGTTTCAGCATCCAGCTGCTGCTGCTGCTGCTTCTTGGAGCTCCTCCTCACCCGGAGCAGCACGGAGGAGGTGGGGAAGCGGTTGGCGCAGACGGGATGGCAGTAGGGATCCCTGGGGCGGAAATAGAGCTCCAGCCTTTTCGTGGGGTCCGCGTAGATCTAGGGGACACAGTCACCCCCCGTGTCAGCACCGCCACCTCGCACCCCCACCACAGGGGCCTCCAGCTCGGCCACAGAGACGCCCTGCCCTGCCAACACGGGGGACACAATGGGGGGATCCTGGGGCTGCCCTGATCCCGCTCAGGATTCCCTGGATAGTCTTCCATGCATGGAACCAGCCTGGAAGGGCAGCTTCACGCCAAGCCCCGAGCCCTAGAGCCCGTCACCAAGGCCCGTGGGGGGTCCAGGGACAGACAGCAGGAGCCGCCCCGCCAAAGCCGCCATCCCGAGGCCGCCATCCCGGCGTCCCATCCCCTTCCCAACAGCCCGACTCCCCTCTCCCTCCCCGCGCTTCGCCCTCGCCCCGGGCCCTCCCCG